TCTCTCAGCTCCAGTATAGAAGTGCCAAATAGGAACGGCAAGAGGGATCCTTGAAGAATCTATTTCAGGTCTCTGCGCAGAAACTGTTTCAGATTTATTCTCTTCTTTCCTTTATGGAGGAAACAGATCTTCAATTCTTCTTGAGTTGATAAGAAATTGACAGGCCTCTCCTTCCCTCCAGAAGTGGAGGCTCCAATCTGTGTGCTATGTAGCAATCTGGAAATGCATGCCATTGATTTCGGCATGTTTTACCTGTTTTTGTGTGCAAATACTCACACTGACCAAAACACCACTTGTCATCTCCGGCCCATCCTCTGTTTGAATATCAGCCAGCAAGCCAATGCCTCAAATCAAGAAATAGCTTTCTTATATCTATAGAGATACTCGCAGGAACACCTCAGCAAGTGAGAGTCCAAAAGAGGAGGCTAAAACCCAGAACCTCAATCAGTAGCTGATATAAGTTGAGAAACACCCTCCTGGGCACACAGAAGACTGGGTGATTTAGAAGGCGCTGAAGACACTGTGCTACAAAGTGGGGCTACAAAGTGGAGTCCACGACATGCGAGGATGGAGAAGAGCAAACCACAGACCACCTACTACAATGCATATGCCACATGCACAATGGAGGACCTTCTTACAGCGACACCAGAAGCACTCCATGTGGCCAGCTTCTGGTCAAAGAAAATTTACCATAATGTCAAGTTTTTAACTTTGTGTGTGTTTTTTCTATACATTATAACTGTATTCTCAATTTGCTTCTGACATGATAAATAAATAATGAACAAAAGACAGTTCAATTCCCTGTGCCATCATTGAGCATCCCACTTATGAATTACTTAAATAACACTAGGCTTGTGCAATGGTTTAATGCATCACTGAGATTATGTGGCCCTATATAGAATATCACAATTACACAACTGACATTTATGTCACTATCAAACCATAACAGGCTTCCATCCCCTGAAACTACCTCCCAGTATTGTGATTGAAGCTGTTTATCAACAGCTAGAGCCTGAAAACCAAATGCCAACACATGCCCAGTCAAAAGTTTTGAAAGAACAGACATTCTATCTCTGCATAGTAAGAAAAGGATAAGACACTAATCTGAGGACAAGCCAGTGCAGCAATAATAATAATAATAATAATAATAATAATAATAATAATAATAATAATAATAATAATAAAGAATTAATGAAAGAAAGAAAAGGTTTAAAATATTGGAGACGATTACATTTATTAGGTTAAAATGTGTGCCAAATGATTTTGCTCTGCTGCCATCTGCTGGCTATAATGTGTGAAGTAAGATTTCTATCCATAGTAGCAACATCTTTTGCCATCTAGAGAAAAATGATATTTCACCTCCAAAACAATTCAGGGAATTGTTGTACTAATATATTTATATATATAATAATTGCACTTGATATTTTCTTTAATGCGTGTTTCAATTGAAACCTGATTTATTAGTGGTGTTTTATAAAATCATTCACAGGAACTGTATTGCTGCGATTTTTCTGGGCTGTATGGCCATGTTCCAGAATGTCTCTCCTGACATTTCACCCACATCTATGGCAGGCATTTTCAGAGGTGAGTTCTGTTAGAAACTAGGCAAGGGAGGTTTATATATCCACAGATATATACAGCCCAGTGATTACAGCTATGAAAGCCTTCGACAACACATTCACAGGAACCTTTCAACTCCTATTTATATTTATAGAGTTGTATTTATAGAGTTATAGAATGTTAAGTAAACAGATGTTTGGTACTCTTTGAGCATTCTTCTGGAACATCATATTGCAATATATGCCAAGTCTGAGTCAAGCTCAGTAGAAATGCCTCCCAGATGCATACGTACAGGACATCATCTTATATAGCACCATCAATGTACATGATGGTCAACTGAACAGAATAATAAAGGACATCCACACAAATACAAAACAATCCACTTTAATAAGGGCACATGTGGAAAGGAGGAATGCAGATGTGCACATTCTGGTCACTCAACATCATAAGAATAAAAAGTTCAAAGCTTAAAAAGATAAAAATGTTCAAAACCTTATACTTTGGATTCAAAGCTGTGATTTAAGAAGCAGCCCAGAAGTATTTGGGAAGGCAATTCAAATTTGCTATCAATTTAAGTACAAGACGAAGATGCATTAATAGAAAGCCAAAGGAAAAAAAAGAAAAAAAAAGAAGGTTACTATATTCCAGAAGAAGAAGGACTGAATCATGAACAGAGAGAGATAAAAGCAATCTAATTCTGGTAACGTGATTATGGAAAAAAGTGATACGAGTACATTACAGGCTGAAAATTACAGGCTGAAAATGAGGGACAAAAGACAAATGAGACAAAAAGGAAACCACGGTTGTGTACATTCTCTGTATGACTGAATGGAACACATTATTATTATAGGTAGAAAATGTATATTGAGAAGTCTTCAAGGAAATTAAACTCTCTAAATTCCCTCTCTGCTATACTACATTTCTGCAGATGATGAAACATCTACTTTGAAATAGTTCAGATAAATGCCGTGATGCATTTGGTATCTGGCAGAAAATTCTGATGCTATAAAATATAACTGAATATTGTCAATATAAAAAATGAGGTTGAAGGCCAAGGGACCATACCAGTTTACTGAGAAATGAAGTGTAGAGAGAAAGCAACAGTAGTTCAGGACTGAAGCCCAACTGAAAGGAAGGGAAAAGATGGTGCACACCATCCATTCAACACATTACAAGGAGGGTTAGAAAGATAATAACACGGACTAGTGAAAAGTTGCAATAAACCTGGAGGGAATCCAGTATCCTAATATTTCAGGCTTACATATCAACACTGGTAGGCATGTCAACACAGATGAAGCCCCACTAAAGACAGTGGAATTTATTTCCTATAAAATATTCATTTTATTTTATTCTGTTAATATAAATAGAACTCCAACAACAGTTACAAAAACTTAACATGCAGGAACTGTCACACACTCATGTGAACTAATAATCAGATGGGCGGCACACATTTTTGGTTTGTCTGCCATCCAAACTTCATTTCATTAGCCTACTTGTAATAACAAACTAGAAGCTAGAGACAAAAAACTTGGATGACAGTTTTGAATCAATGCATAAAAATGCAAATTCTATTGTCTCCCTGACTCTCTGGGAACACACTTCTCCTACTTCCAGTTTCCCACCTTCTTGCTCTCATTTCCTCCTGACCCAAACTATTCTACTGCACTCCTTCTTTCCTTTGGGTGATTCATGTCTGTAACACATGCCATATTTCAGCAACTCCTCTGGCCATGGAGAGGGCAATGCCCAAATTACTTTTATGCCTCACTTTGTGTGCACAGTGTTCAGATTCTACACAGCATATGACCCAGCTCAGTCTTTGCAAGTCCCCAAGTGTCTCCACAAAATGTTTTTGGGCTGAAACCGCCCCACAAGATTTCTCTCCATTGTACCATAATTGGAAACAATAAGAAAGGCAACACCAAAAATTATTAAGATATGTGTAATTGGACAGCATTATCCTGCTAAGACGACAATGAAATGTCCATACAAGAAAATTGATGACAATCCACTACTCATTGCACCCGCATAGTGATGTCGACAGGTTTTACCTGCCCAGAAAATCAGGAGGCAGAGGGCTTCAGCAAGTGAAACAAACAGAAGAAGAGAAATATGTACTGGCAGATTATGTGAAAGACAGTCAAGAACCAGCATTGACAGAAGTCAATAGTAGAAAACTGCTTCAAGTGTAAAAGACAAAGAGGGAATACTGTAAAAATACAGTGCAGAGAAAACTGGCAAAAGAAGGCTCTCCATGGACAGTTCCTGGGAAAAATTGAGAGAGAGAATTGAAGAAGAAAAAACATGGCTGTGGCTCACAAATGGAACTTTGTAAAAGGAGACGGAGGGCCTGATTCTGGCAGCCCAAAAACAAGCCATTAGAACAAATGCCATCATAGCCAAAATTGAAAAGTCGACGACAGATTCCAAGTGTAGACTCTGCAAGGGAGCAGATGAAACAATAGATCACATCCCCAGCTGCTGCAAGAAGATTGTGCAGACCAACTGCAAACAGAGGCATAACACTGTTGCTCAGACAATTCACTGAAACTTGTGCCACAAATACCATCTGCCTGTGACAAAGAACTGGTGGGATCACAAGTCGGAAACAGTCACAGAGAATGAACACGTCAAACTACTCTGGGATTTCTGGATTCAGACTGACAAGAGTTTTGGAGCACAATACTCCTGACCTCACAATCATGTTTAAAAAAAACAAAGTATGGATATTCGATGTTACAATCCCAGGCAACAGCAGGATTGAAGAGAAACAACTGGAAAAGTTGACACGATATGAGGATTTAAAGATACCCCGCCATCATAGGGACTCCTGTAGGGATTTGGGGCAGCTTACAAATAGCACACAATCGTGCCACACAACATATCAAATACAGTGTATCAACATTAAAACCAATCACATATTTAAAACCAGACTTATAAAATTAGCAAATGCAATAAAGTCAGTTAAATATGGCAATAGACATTGATTAAATGATCCATGCAATCTATTTAGCCTTCCCTGGCTAAAGATAGTAGTTTGGCTTCTATCTTAAACATTATCAAAGGCCTGTTGAAAGAGCCTAGTTTTTAGCTCTTTCCGCAAGTGCTGTAGTGTGGGGTCTTGCCTAAGTTATCTGGGGAGGGCATTCCAGAGCGAGGGGGTCACCACCGAGAAGGCCCTCTCCCTCGTCCCTACCGACCGCACTTGAGACAGAGGTGGGACCAAAAGGAGAACCTCCCCATCAGATCTTAGAGCCTGCACCAGCTCATATGGGGGATGTGATCATGAAGATAGGCTGGACCCAAACTGTGTGAATCCAGAGGTGACTAAACATATAGATAATCACGTGGGGAGATGATAGTTGCAGAAGATGCTTTGGATAAAATACAGCTCAACCAGTGAAAAAATACATTAATAAAAATTACTTTCATTACTCCAATTTCTGTAAAAATTTATTTTACCTTGAATGTCAAGCATATTACAAATGACAAGAGACAAACCAACAACAAACGACCAGTTATAAAGCTTTGAGTAAGTGTAATAACATTAATTATTATGCATTAATACTTTAAAAAAGATTCAAACTCTGATAGAAATTGTACAACTGAGAATTAGATGGCCAGCAGTGCTTTGGGGTTGTATCTCATTTCACAAAATAAACATAGAAATGCCTTGCTGAAAACATACAGTGAAGCAGCATAACATACACTATAGTTACATAGTGAGCAAAAAAAGTGTATCTTGTAAACTTTTGTTCGACAACTGCAGTCCTATGGAGCATAGCAAACATGACGACATTAAGCTCTATAGTTGGGCTGAAAAATTAAATATGGTTAACTTTGTTGTGCAATTTTATTTTGCTTTTTTGTTCTCATTTAAAAAAATGTTTTCCAGATTATCATTAGAATTCAGCTCTTCCTAAGTTTTTAAAAAATTGTTTAAGGAGCCTCCAGAGATTTTCTCATTTATAGAAGAAAATGTATAATTGGATATTTGGATAAATTCTTTGAGGACCACATGGGTAACAGAAATGGCATGAAAACACTTTATGTTAAAGTAGCCAACAACGACAACAAAAAAAGATGATGACAATGGGGGTTCGTGCATTTCACAGAAGAATATTGTAGCTGGTAAAACATGAAACATATAGAAACTGATGAAATTCACAGATATCTGAAATAACCAGCCATATTTCATTAAAATGACAAGAAGCTATATATGTGGGGTGAATGCAAAATAGTTCACAGTGACATACCTGCTCACTGAGCACTGGAGGCCCACTTCAACTTTAGGCAGTCAATAAAAACACTGCTAGGACACTTTGAAAGAGTGAATCTCAATGTTATAGGTGAAAATGCACTTCCACTCAATATCAGAATCCCAATCCAGATAAAGGCAGTCATGACTGAAAGGAGTGAAATTCTAAGTTAATGATGTAAAAGGTTTTTTTTCTCTTCATTTTCTTCTTTAAATGACAGAGAACTAATTTTAACAGGTTTGTGGCCCAGAGATTTGCAGTAATTAGACCAAAGACTCCACGTATTGAGAGTCTCACACTGAATATGGAATTATGTTACCATATTACACTTTACACCGGAGGTACTTTAGTTCCTGGGAAAGGAGATTGTTGCCAGCTGTCTTCCTGAGACTTAAAAGATCATATAAGGCAAGCATCAAGCCTAGTCTATCATTAACACATTCCAGCTCAATAATTTGGTCCTTTTCTAAATGGATCTCTTCCTGCAATTACACTAAAGCATAAAGATGGGTCACAAATTCCAGGTGGTCCAGTTCGTCCAGGCATTCCAGGACTGCCACGCTCTCCATCTTTACCGGGTTCCCCACTTTCTCCAGGACGTCCTTCTTTACTCATCCCACGTGGACCTTCAGGACCTGAAAAATACATACATATCAGACAGATACATGAGGAATACTTATGTCCATACACTGCATTTCGACAAAGATTTTCCGTCTGATCTACTTGATCTGGATAAGTTAAGAATTACAGCTACAATTCTGTACCACCTATTTAGTACATAGTCATTTAACTTGGCTATGTAGTGTATCCAAGCCCAGCAACCGCAATCTTCACTTATTAGGGAGCAGCCACTGTGAATGTAATATTTGTCACTTGCTAAAGTAGTCATGATGCTCCTCATGAACCACATGAGTGGCATAGGAGTACACCTCACTCACTAAGATGGTGCTCTTTACTCCACAGCTTTGGATCTGTACTTCCACCAGTTGGGAATCCATTGAAACTTGGAATACATCATTCCCATATACAAAAAAGATACAAGGAAAATGTACAACTCTGTAACAGATGGACATACACAGGCCTCTCATCTTTAGTACAATTAAGCTTCTGTAAAACATTTGCCGATTCAGTCCTTTAAACTTTGAAATGTAAGGAGTTAATATAGTGGATAACATGTAGAAATAGCAAGTCTATGTGTTTTAAGTTAAGCAACTGATAATATGTACTTGTCAGAAATAACTGGTTGATTGATTATGGTAGTTAGGCATGTATACATCAATATTATTGTCCCCTGACTATATCTGCTATGAGTTGTTGTTTTGCTATGTACTATAACTTAAATAAACTGTTTTGTTTTTTTAAAAAAACAAAGTTATACACTGGTTGCATTTCACCACTCTTCTGCGGAATATCACTATTAAGCACCAACTACGTTTCTGTTAATGTACCTATTGCTTATTATCCTATGTAATGAGGAATGCACAACAGCTGTTCTGCAATCCCAGGAAAGAAAGTGGTACAGTGATGTTACCGATGAATAGTTATGTACCATCCAAGTATATGCAGCTACTTGAATGCAATCCTGTTGGTTAGTCAACACATAGATAAATTCAGTTGATTCAGTGGCTCTGATCTAGGATTTCACTTGTGAAACTCCATTCATGCAACTATGAGTTAGATACATCTGTTCCACAATGGGCCCCAAAGTACAACCATATGTGTAAGTTTCCTTACATAACCACAGAATTCCAGCCTGTGTCTTCCTTGAATAAAATTGCAATTTCAATTTATATATCCCCAATGACAGTTGCTGCAAAGCATCTTGCCGATACCAGCCAAATTATGCAAGCGGAATTTGTTAGGGGTCATATCATTACAACAGATATGTTCCAAACAATTAAATAACAAAAATATGGTGAAACAATACCTGGTGGTCCTGGAGGCCCTGGTATACCAGGAAGTCCAATTCCTTGGCTTCCTTTAGCTCCATTTCTTCCTGGTAGTCCTGCAATTTAGCAGACATAATGAGCCCTATTTAGCCAATATTTTTCAGATGGTGTGTACTGAAGTATATTAGTATGCCAAAAAAGAAAGTTTCACAATTAACCGGTGAGCTTAATAGATCCTTTTCTGCATGATTCAATGGTTTGGCGGCTAATTTCCAGAAAGGGAGAATTCTCCTGTATTTAATCAGGTAATATGATGTCATTCAATAATTTCTAGCACAAAATTATATAGGCTCAGAGGCGGCTGTCTGTGTAATTCTCTGTAGGTCACTATCCTTCTAATCACAAGACATGCCAAAAATGGCTTAATGCACAATGCAGTGGTTCCCATCACCATCCCAACTGCAGGTAACCTACACACATGAAAAAAAAAACAGGCTACAAGGATTCATTAAATCTGGAGGGAAATGCTTCACAGGGATATATTGGACTAAATTTAGTTATTTCCTTTTACAATGGATCTACTGAATTAACAGTATGCAAAGGGGCCATGTTGTACCCTAGAGCAGGGCTTTCCAAACATTTCATGTTGGTGACACACTTTTTAGACATGGATAATCTCACGACATAGTGATTCAGTTTTGCTCGTAAACCAACCCCTTACAAGAGATACAAATGCATACATAAATTGTAATAATGAAGTGTATGGGGACACAACATGTCTCATGAACACCTTTCATTTATATTTTTAAAATATATGATTTATTACTTATTTCACATATACACTGAGGTTTTTCCTTAGATTTGTTTGACACACATATACGCTGCAGGCGACACACTAATAAGTCATTACACACAGTTTGGAAAGGTAGTATAGATCCAGCCCTTATCTACTTCCTTAGATGTATGAAGTGTCTAGGAAAAGACCTTTATAGGCAGATTGTATATGGAAGTAGCCATAGCAATGCAAAATGTGTGGGTCGAGTGATGAGATGACAAGCTCAGGATTAGGGATGGTCATTGGGCAAAAATGTTGCCTAAGGGCAAGATTAGCAGATAACCATATGAATGGTGGAGGGAGTTATTTGAATGTAGTATGATGCTGGCTGGTAACCAGAAAGCAGATGTGATAACCTTGGCAAGGGGGCCTTCAAAAGATTGGATGTTAACTAGTGTTATAATATGTGTAGTGTGCCAGGAAACCATTGTCTCTGTTCAAACCAGTCAATGGACTGGAAAAACTCAATAAGTCAATAATTATATAAGTGACATTGATTCCACAGGTTTTCTCAAGTTGAGATTTACAACTTAATTTAGATTAATAGATCCTTTTCTGCATGATTCTGCATGATGGTGGAGGGAGTTCACTTATTTATGAGGATGGAAATGTAGGGCTAAAGCCAATATTTAATGGTTAAGAATTTCTGCCTCCACTTTTGAGAAGCCCAAACAAAAGTCCTTATTTATAAATGGGCACAACAGGGGCATCACTGACTCCCTACCTAACCTCATTCACAGGGTCATTATGAGTCTACATTTAAGTTGCTCGAACTCCGGGGTCTTTAAATGGGGAATGAATTAATTAGGACTCTACGATCTTGAGCAAGTTAATTTGATGAGGAAGAACCATTCCAGATGTAAATTACAGCTGCATATCATCAAACGTAATTTCTGAAATGTGAAACAACCCAAAATATTTGTACCAAACTACAGACTGAAATTACCCTGTTTATGCCTTCAGATCACAGGCTTAAATTAAAAATAGGCTTTAAATAATACTGTGGTTCATGGATACATTACAAAAAATTAAATATCTGAAGAAGCCCAAAGAAGCAAAAAATAATTGACAAACTCTTGGAGAAAGAGCTTCAAGTTTAAAAAATATACTTTGACATGCAAAACTTTATGTAGAATGACATTTACTAGATGACACATTACTGACAACATGGTAATGAATAGCATCCATGGGCAAATGTCTACAGCATACAGATGTTTTCAAACACTTGAGGAACACTTCTTCTAAACAGGACATAGAAAATTCCTAGAGAAGTCGTATTTTGTCAAATGTGCATAAATGAGACCATGGGTACCTGTTCGTGGATAAGTATTCGTGGTTTCATTTATCCACATCTGATATATGATAAAGCCAAACATTTGTTATACAATATGACCACCAAGGTTGCTGTCATTCACATGCATTACAGGTTGCAGTCATTAAGAAGCAGAATCTTTTTTTTTCTAAGTGCCCGTTTCCCTAACTTTATCAGGTTGAGTAGGGATTATGTGATATTTATCCTTTGGAACAGACTCATCTTGTGTCTAGTACCCTCATTAACACGCAACAAGTGTGATTCATGTCTGGGCAATAAGTGACCCGTAATGTGGTGATTCAGCCAGATGTATGAACAATCAACTCATACAAATGGATTAAAAAAGGACTGCTTGAGATGACATTATGGAAAGACACTAGCTGCCCAAATATGCTAAATGGCAGCCTTTTACTTTATAATTCAAATGCTCCTTTTAGAACATTTTTGAATCGGTAATTCCAAATTCATTCAAAATATTCCTAAATGTTAACAGGTCATGATTTTACATGCTATAGTTTAACCATCTGAATGTCAGATTTTTGGAAAATATACAAAATATAATACGTCTTTTCTAGACAAGATTAACACTGCAATCCCATACCTCTCATTTCTTGTCTGGCTAGAACTACTGACTAGAAATGAATAGGATTTATAGGCTCAGGCTGTAGTCTTAAGAATACTTATTGACGAGTAAGTCCCATTCAACCTAATGGGTCATCCTTTTGTGCAGACATATACCTAATTGCATGGGTAAAAAGATGGCTTTTGTTTTGTTGACATATACAGTATATTGCTGCTGTTGTTGCAACAAAAGTTCAGAATGTTAAAAAATCTTTTCTTCTGGTTTTGCCTTCTATCCATCACTTATATTTTCCAACAATTACTCTCTTTTGGCTATGAGAGCAATCAAGGGGGTGGCAGATTTCCCAGACCTTCCAACATAAACACAGCCCACCCCTTTCTTTAAGAGATGGAGTTAAAATTTAAAAAGGGGGAAATTAATCTGCTCCCAAGGCTCTGAAATATCTTCTGCTAAATTGCCTATTCAAAATTATGCCATTTAATGGAACAAATGCCCATACTGCACAATACCAGAACATTACTTTAGCAAAATATTGTTTTATACAGCATGGCTAAATATGGAATTTAAAATGATATCTGAAATTATTGTGTTTTACAGTTTAGTTAGATTTCTGATTTAGTGCCCTTCCAGACAGGGCCCAAAATGCGGGCCCTGTTGTGCTTTTACTGGAGGTGTCCAAACAACGTCCCAGTAGTCTGTCCCCACAGTCCAATTCAGAGAAGCATGACCCCAGAGAAGCAAAAGGGCACCCACCCTCAAAAACCTTAAAATAAAATATAAACTTACCCAGTCACCCTGAAGCTGTTCTCACAGCCCTCCTGGCATGTAAAAATGATGTGCCAGGAGGTGGGGGCAAATCACTCATGCCCCCCCCACACCTCCTCATGGTGACTCAATAAGCTTTTACTTTTAAAGGCTTTTGGTGGGGGGTTGGGTAGCCTGATGCCATCTTGAAAGTTTTTGGGATGGCATGAGAACACCCACCCGGGAAAGCCCGGGTTCTGTGAAAAGGTGTGGGAACTTAAACCTGCTTTGTAGCAGGTTCCTATAACCCGCTCCAAAGTAGGTTTATGTCTAGTCTGGAAGCGCCCTTAGTCTCCCATTGAATGTCCTAATGTAGCTGATTGATCGGAACTAGAACATAAACTTGAATAGAATTTGGAAATATAAACCAAGTTCAAGGAATTCTTATGCTCTTCTAAAAACTGCAATAATTCCTTTTTCCTGTTACAGCAGATATAGACAGCCGATACATCACAATGATTATTTTATAAAATTGTATTTTTCTCTCTCTTTGAAACAGTTTTTTAATTAACCTTTTTTTTATACAACATCCTTTTTGGGGAGGAGGGGCAAAATGTTATTTCAGGAATCAATATGGTCCTGTTGTTTGAAAATGGAACTGTAATTTTGGAGACCAGAGTTCAAATTGCTGCTCAGCTTTAAATCCCACTGGGTGACTTAGCTTAGGCACACTGGTTCAGGCATTTCTAAGTCCTCCAGCATGGTCCCATGACATGCTTCTGCTAGAAGTTGACCACAGAATCACACTAGGTCCTTCTTTTCTCTAGGGCAGTGATTCCCAAAGTGGGCATTACTGCCCCCTGATGGGCACTGCAGCAATCCGGGGGGGGGGGGCAGTAACGGCCACAAGTGCATTTGGGGGCAATTAATAACTGTAAGGGGGCGATGAAAGTTAAAAGAAAGAAGAGAAGATTTAGAAAAATTGATTTCCAGGGGGTAGGCCAAATAATTTTGGGAACCACTGCTCTAAGGCTTTTCTAGGTCGTCCAGCATGATTCTATGATATGCTTTCACCAGAAATCATTCATTTCATTAGATTTATTACCTGCAGTTTCATGTTTCCACATAAAATCTAGGAACCTGTGGATATGGAGGTTATATTTTATTTGCTTGTCCTGAGTGAATGGTATTGACAACCAAAGCCTTTTGCATCATCTGGTTCCTTTCCTGATTTTTTTTCAGTTGACAAAATATTTTTTCCAAGCCATTCTTACCTTTTGCCCCACGAGATCCATGACGTCCAGGTGCCCCTGTCAGACCTGGAAGACCATCATTCCCTTGTAAGCCAGGAAAGCCTCGGGGACCTTGGGGACCAACTGGGCCTGGTGGACCGGGAGGTCCTGGGGCCGCACCATGAGACTGGCATTGATCACAGTGTTGCCTTCCATTCTGAAGCATAGTTGGTAACTGGGCTAAAGGGAAAACAAGCAAAAACCATTCAAATCAATTTGGACCACTGTTGTACTAACAGCTGAAGTCATCTATACAACTATATCAAATCAGTAGTAAATACAATGGTTGTTAGGTCAAACACAATGGTTATTAGGTCAACTGTAGTTCAGTGAAGCACTTAAAAGTCCATTAATTCCAGTAATGAGAGATTCAAGGAACATGTGGACTTTTCTTTTGAAATGATGACTTTAATACTGACTCAGTTGTTCCTACAATGCAAAATTTGCAATCATGTGAAAACTATAGGAAGGAGTAGGGATTTTCTTTTCATTTAGGGGCCTTTGGAAGGACTTCAGGAAGGAACTTTCTGACAGCTTTAAAGGCATGGGGCAGGACCAAAGCAAAGTGCCAGGAGAAGACTAGTTCTGACAAAATGTGAATACTTTTCCAGCAAGAACACAGAATTCTGTTCAATTTCATGCATGCCAACTAAGGGGAAAATCTTGGTATAACAATTTTTGGTGTACAGAGCACAGCTCATTCTCAGGCAACAGCCTTTGGGGATGCAAAGCACAACTTATTTCCATGCTGCAAAGCACAGTTCAATTCCATGCAACAGCTTCTTAAACTTTCAATAGATTAATATCTGTTATCACCTTTAGGTAGGTTATCACCGAAAGGTGATAACAGTAAAAGAAAGTCATACAGCAAGGTTTGGGAACTCCTGAGAGCTATGTCCACTTGGGGGGGAATAAAGTTTCCCCATCAAAGTTTTAGGGGAAAACTTTGGCCATGCAATGCTGTAAATTAGTTGTGATGACTAAGGACTCACTTCTTAGCACGTCTGCACAAACTTGTCGAATAAAATCTTCTGAAAAACCTCTTCCCTGAATTGAACACAGGATTAGAAAAATTACATGGCTTCCGTATACAATTGAGTGGTCCAGGATGAAAATTAAAAGAGCTTTCTCCAAGTTGGAATACATACAGGTTTTCCATCTGAGCCGGGAATTCCTGGAGATCCCCTTTCTCCTTGTCCTCCCCTTGGACCTGGTGGACCAACCAAGCCACTCATGCCAGGTTCTCCCTTTTGTCCATTGATGCCATGAATACCAGGATCCCCTTTCTCGCCTTTCTGAAGGAAATAAATTCAATGGGTTTTATTGAATTCTTTTATATTAACTTCATGTAATTTAAATTGGTATGAATGAATTTCTATTGCTTATTTATCTCACGGCTTTTTACTGTATTTTGCCAGGTCTTGTTTTTATCTTGTATTCTGCCTTGAATGGATTCTATCCAAGAGGGGGCATCTACACTGTAGAATTAACTGTTATGGCTCAATGCTGTATGCAGTCATGGGAGTTGTCATTTGGTGAGGCACCAGCACTCTTTATCAGAGTGCTAAAGGCTTTGTAATACTACAATTCCCACAATTTCATAACATTGAGCAATGGCAGTTGAAGTAGTATTCATGCATTAATTCTACAGTATAGCTGCACCACTACAGACAGCCTATCACCATCAGTGGAAAGACCTGAAGAACAAGGGATTCCCTTGTCCAAAGACCAGCTGGGCTCAGGCCAAGAGGGTTGGAGGAGCACCAACACTTTCCTATTTTCCTTTTCCATAAACCTTTTCACTGAGCACTGTCTTCACTCAACTATTTGGCCAACATCAATGCTTTTATGAATTTGCAAGCACTTCAGTTCTCTTGAAAAATAGGGAACCGACTTGGAAACATATGTGCACCTTTCAGTTTTGATTTGTGGCTTTTAAACTTGTGAGTTGCCCACAACAATCAATGAACATAAAATAAATGGTGAAATTCTTCAATTGAATAACAAAGGGACAGTGGATGATAAAAAACAGATTATTTTTTAAAACCGCAAAGACATACCTCTCCATTGGCTCCACTGGATCCCATCTCACCCTTTTGGAAAACAAAATCGGAAAACACTTTTTGATTTATTGTCATAATGTGTTATTTCCAACAACACAAGGACCAGCATGGTGAGTATTTCAAGCATTGAACTGTGGCTGGATCTACACTGTAACATAATACAGTTTGGACAGAACTGAACCACATTGTAAGGGTCTACACTTATTATATGATGGTGTAGATCCATCTTGTGACTTTGGAGACCAAGGGTTAAATCAGGGGTAGGGAACCTTTGGCCCTCCAGCTGTGGTGGACTTCAACTCCCACAATTCCTTGAGGCTCGGAATTCGCCCCAAAGGCTTACCTTGGCCCAATGCCGAGCCTCAAGGAATTGTGGGAGTTGAAGTCCACCACAGCTGGAGGGCCAAAGGTTCCCTACCCCTGGGTTAAATCAATGCTTGATCATGTAAATCCCCACTGGATGCGCTTGGTCGGGTCTTAATCTCAGCCTCAGAGAAAGACAAAGACAAATGTATTGGGAATCTCACATCAGAACAAAACAATTTATGTGTGGCCAAGACCCAAAAATAACATATAAAATAGCTCTGTATTTAGGCAAAACAATATGTCTGAGAACCACATATGTGGTAAATTGTAGGGGTGATAATGAAATATGATGTATATACTCAGTTTTATCATATCTTATATTTATTTACTGTATTGTTATAAGTATCTTATTTTAACTTACTACATAGAGTGCAATCAAGTCTTATCAAGCCTTGTTGTTTTGTTTGATATTGTGATATGGCCTAAGGGCTAATCAATAAAATTATGACTACTACTAGAAAGACAAAGGCAACTCTCTTTTTAACATTTTTTGCCCAGAAAATCCTGTGAGAGCTTTGTTTTAGAGTTTCCATAAGTTAGAAACAACTTGAAGGAATGCAACAACAAAGATAAACCATGAAGAATAAACATAATAATAATAATAATAATAATAATAATAATAATAATAATACTTTATTTATATTCCACTGTATCTCCCCAATACAGGGCAGATTCCAGACATAAAAGGCAAACTTTCAATGCCCAAATATAACAACAACACATCCATACTAACAAAATTTATACAACCCAACATATAAACACAAATTATAACTTAAGAAATTAAAATTAAATTTAAAAACACAGCCTGTTATAACAGACATAAGACAAAACATCCAACATTGAATGGAAACAATAATTTCGCATTTCCTTGTGGCAACCTGATTAATCATTGCTCAAGATATCTATTGAGCTGGTGGGGTGAGCAGGGCATGGATATGGATGGAAACTATTAATCAGAGCTATAATGGTAGTATTACCAACTATTATTACTCCTCCACGTAAACCAGTGAGCAAAGATATGTCTTCAACTGTTTTTTGAAAGCAAGGAGGGAGGAGGCCATCTTTAACTCCTTTAGAAAGGGAGTTCCAGAGGTGGGCGGGGGGCAGCCACAGAGAAGGCCCTTTCTCTTGTTCCCACCAGCCATGCTTGGGATGGAGGTGGAACTGAAAGGAGGACCACCTCCGATGACCACAGTGTCCAAGTTGGTCTATAGAGGAAGATGTGGTTTGTCAAATAGTCTGGACCTAAGCCATTTAGAGCTTTAAAGGTAAGAACCAGCACTTTGTATTTAGCTTAGAAGGAGACCGACAGCCAGTGGAGTTGCCGCAACATGGGAGCGGTTCTCTCCCTGAATGGCACTCCTGTTAGTAACCTGGCTGCCAATATCTGGACCATTTGAAGCTTCCGAACTATCTTAAAAGGCAGCCCCACATAGAGAGCATTACCGTAGTCCAAATGGGATGTGACTAAGGCGTGGAATACCATGACCAAGTCAGGCATCTCAAGGTATTGGCACAGCTGGCGCACAAGTTTTAACTGTGCAAACGTGCTCCTGCCAACCGCTGACATCTGGGGCTCCTCATATCACAGATTTTGCTAAACACCTAGAATCAATTATGTCTTGTGAAGAAAGTGGTGAAGACACTCTCCCCATTGTTTTTGTCTATAATCAATCTACGCATATACAGAATAAACTATCATGCTGGCATATAGGATTTTAAAAAAATGATCCTGAAAAAATAAATCTATAAGTTTAAGAAGGAAATAGGAGCATCAGTTTATATACAAATACCCAGAGGCTGGACCTACGTGGTCATATAATTCAGATTATCTGTTTTGAACTGGATTATAGGAGTCTACACTGCCATATAATCAAGTTCAAAGCAGATAATCTGTATTTTATATAGCAGTGTGGATGGGGCCAGAGATGGATTCAGATTTCCATTGAGCAGGAAACCATTGGAAAAGTAAAGTAGGCTTCTCACCCACCCAATCCCTCTTTAAGTCCTTCACACCCAGGCATGTAGCCGGGGGGGGGGGGGGGGCTTGAGGGGGGCTTCAGCCCCCCCCCCCAAAAAAATCTCATGGTGGTTCGCGAAAAGGCCTTACTGGTGCATTATTTAAACTGTTATGTTTATTCATATCATGATCTGATCACCATACTCAATATATCCCATATGCATGGGGGTATTGGGGTAATGATACAAAAGGTTTGCTAGGCTAGACCCTCTTTCACTCAGACTCAGCCCCCCCCCCCCACCCCCCCCCCCCCCCCCCAAACTCAGCCCCCCTCCCCGAACCCCCCCTGAAAAAAATTCCCCCCCCCCCCCCCCCGAAACGAAATCCTGGCTACGGGCCTGTTCACACCGTAAGTGTTTGGAAGAGTATAGGACAGAGTGGGAGTATTTATATATGGCTGTAGATAACTGGCAAAAATGTCACCTCCTTTAATGGAAGCCTCTCAGACACCCACGCTGGCGGGTACAATGACAAAAGCATGAATTGCTTCCAAATTGCCATGTACTGCAAGGAGGCGCATTTTTATAGATGCTGCCTGTTGTAACTGATGAAAGTCTGCAGTATAAAGGTAAGGGAAAATGTTCCTAAACAAACTTGAGAACATCTGTATACATGCTTTTAGTTTTCAATTTTATTAAATTAAAGACCTAAAAGTCATATGAAAATATACTTTAATATACATATATGCACTTCAATATGCATACACAATTATTTTACCTTGTGACCTGGACTGCCTATTCTGCCACTTTCACCTTTCTTGCCCTTTTGAAAAAGAACAAAACCCATTATATAGTAAGCACATCATCATATAAGAAAGGATTTGTTCAGATCTATAACTAATTATACTTAGTGGAGACAAAATGAAATCAGTAAGATAGCTAGCTCAAGTCCCTTGACTTAAGCTGCTACATTTTAGTACAACCTATGTTGGCATTCATCTTCTTAGAGTTTCTAAATTTTATATTTATGGCATATAAATGTCATAAATAAATAAATATTTTTCCAAGTGGTTTGTAATTAAAAAGTCAAAAAATCACAATATTCAAATACGAGAGAAGTTTGCAAAGTTCAAGCAAAGTCTGATTTCAAGAAATGCTTTTTGGATGAGACATAGAAACTGAGGAGGAGATGAGATGGAGAAGAGGAGAAGGAGGAGAAGAAGAGATGATGGTGTCTAAAGGAGATAAGAACAGGTACCAGGTGGACACCCATGAATTGATGTTCAATCTACTATCACCATTGTGCATGGAAGGGCTTTTGTCAAATGGAAGGAGCAGCTTATCAAGTATCATTTAGCGTTTCAGACTACATATCATTTGGGAATCTCACTGTGCTCAGTGGGGCTTGCTTTCAAGAGAACATATGCATAGGATTGCACTGTTAAAGATTGTTTTAAACCCTGTAGCATAAATTGTAAACCTAAAGCTAATCAACTTCTTGCAATATAGGCACAGAGGTGCTTGTGGCTCTAAGAGGCAGCACTCTGAACTGGATGCAAGGTAGTCTTCCAAAATTTAACACAATGATAATAATAATAATAATAATAATAATAATAATAATAATAATAATAATAATAATAACAACAACAACAACAACAACTTTATTCTTATACCCCATCTCTATCTTCATGAAGGGACTCGGAGTGGCTTATATACAGGACAGAATGTCCACAAAAGATAAAAGCAAAACAATCCATTAAAACAAAAACACAATAAAATAACAGTATAATAACACAATAAATAAATACAATAAATAAATCTAGAATTGGCCCGTTGGTCATATTTCTACCTATTATTTCATTGTGAAAATGCTTGAAAATTTGCCTCTTGGTTGCTTATCAACATTCATTTCAGACTTTACTTTTGCTTTTCATATCTGCTTTTAATTTGCTTTATTTCAGGGTTTTTTTTTAAAAAAACGATTACTGCAAACAGATTGTTATCCCAATATTATTGCTAACAATAATATTGGGATAACAATTCCGTAAACTGTTAAAAGATTTTGCTAGCATTGTTTACATTTTAAAAGGTTGATTTTGAACAACTTATAGATAAATTTTGAACAACTTATAGATAGACTCATTCAATTGCCATGCCATGAAGTTTATGAAAGCTGAGAGAAAATGATAGGCTTGATATGGTTGGTGAGCATCTCCTATGTTGTGATATGTTGTATCAAAATGAGTCATTACAATATTAAAATATAAATAACACTTTTTTGTACAAGTTTAGAATTGTAAAGAAAATATACCTGGAATCCTCTTTCACCTGAATTCCCTTTGTCTCCCTGAAAACAGGAAAAAGCATCACATTTCATTATAATTATATATCACTAGTTTCAAGTCAAGTTTGACTTGATATATCACCATTTAAAGTAACATCATTACAAGTGTTATAACTTATATTTCACACACACATAGTAGTACACTAGAGCAATTAAGATGACAAAAAAACTTGGACAATAAAAATGTGTAGAATAAAGGTAATCTTAAAAGAAACCTCACATGGAATTATTTTTGTGCAATTTCGTTTTGCACAAGATTTTTGCTGCAATATTTATTTTGTCCAAATATTTGTTTGGCACCATTTGTGGTTTTTGCATACAGAACAGCAACCTTGAACAAAAGACACAACTGCAGACCTAGTTGGAAGAGAACTCGTGGGCCATCCAGTCCAACTCCCTACCAAGAAACAGGAAAATTGCATTCAAAGCACACAAAAATAATATTTTTGTGCAAGCCTTGCAATTTTCATGTAAAAATGACATATATTTCTTGTAGTGGCTATGCCTGGTAAGTCAGAACAATATCTATGTATTCCTTACAGTATTGAATATATAGGATTATGAATACAAAGAAGCAACAAATGCGTAACTTTAGTTTACACATTCATAACTGTGATCATGCTTTCCAGTCCAGGTTTATAAATGACAATCCAACATTTCCATAGATGTTGAGGCCAAATGTCCTGAGTGTAGAATTTTTCCCCAGCTCCATCAACTGACAGCTGTATACAAGTCGTGCCAAATTTTTCTAAAAACACAGAAAACCCATATAAGGGAGGGAGACAAAGAAAACACCAGGAATGGAATGAGGGCTAGCTCAGCATTATCTTGTTTGCAGCTTCCAGCATTAGTCACTGCAGACTTTCCCCAAAAGTCTATTTTCTAACTGACCAATGCCAGGAGAGCACCAGAGTGATCCAGAAAACGACACCATCTCCTCAATATCTACATCCAAAGGGCACAAATAAGGATATCTTGGAGAGCAAGGATCAAATGCATGTATTGGTTGGATTAAAGTATGTCTTCCAAATTTTTGTTTGAGCAAGTATTATGGTAAAAACCATGCCTGCAATTTGTGGTATGGAACATGTGCACCTGTATCAGTTTCCCACAAAAATGTTTTGAAAAGCAGGTCGTACTGTTTAAAAGATCTTTTGAGAAATGTGAAAGAACAAAAAGAACAACCTTTCAAAATGAATTTCAGCCGGAATTCATCTTACGACTGCTTATTTTGTCTCACAGGTTTGTTGGAGAACCTGCCCAGATCTGTCTTCACTCAGGTAAATATTTCATCAATCTTGATCAAGGTCTCTTTTCCTACTTCAGACTGACAGGACCATAAATAGGTGACATAATTGAATTATTTCTCCAAAAGGTATTACAAGCCAAAGAATACATCACACCCTGTCTAAAATGTTAATTAATTTTAAAACAAATAAAAAGTATGTCTCTTTTACAATGTTGGTTATTCCCAAAAGTATCCAACACCACAATCTTTTTTCTCATGGGTTTTATGTTTCCAACTTTGTGTTTTTCTAACTTAAAACATCCAAATCATCGGCTATCTTCCAAACTGGCTGTTGTAAGTTCAACTTTTGGCTTACATGGTAAAAAATGACTGGTTGTTGGCCAAAGCATCTTCCACTAAAATATCTCCCATTAAAATATTTGTAAGGCTGAAGTTGAAGATCAAACTATTTCCTTTGTAATAGCATGATCAATTTTTTTCCAAGTTATTCCTTGCTGTATAGACATAAGAAAGCAAAAATAAAGAAATGAATGTCCTGCATCATTCACAAGACAAGTCCTCATGGTGTGAATCTCAAAGGACAATTTTACTGATGAATCTTCTTCTGCCAAAGACCTGGGAAGGGGAGAATTCCTTTCCGCCACTCAGAACCCCTCAAAACCTGTTAGTAAAGTCTGGGAAACAACTATTTTGTGCGCATTGCAGAAGTACGCAGGGGGAAGGAAAGACGAGTTGTGATGCAGGCAGTTGTCAGGGGTTTGGGTCCATGTTTTAAAACACTACTTGTTTTTGCTATTTTATTGTCATGTGAAACAACATCTTATATTATCTGAGTCAAGATCTCTGACTAATGCCTCTCTATGGTGCATCTACATATTAGAATGAATGCAGTTTGATATCACTAACTGCATGGCTGAATGCTATGGATTCATGGGAGTTTAAATTTAACAAGATCTTTAGCCTTCTTTGTCAAAGAGTGCTTGTATCTTACCAAGCTACAAATTCCACTGAGCCCTGCAAATTAAAGATTCATTGAACATTAAGCCATGGCAATTCTACAGTGCAGATGCACCCTAAATCTCAGAAAATGGTGATGATTATCCAAAGTCCACTAGCTTCAACATTGGACAACATGATTTAAACTAATGGTTTAAATTACTATATAATGCTTTTATCAAGACAATAGAATGCTCTATATCATAACTTCTCATGTGTGTCCCAATGCTAAATGGGGTCCCCTCAGCTTAAGGTTGGGATCCAAAAAATTGATAATAGTTGAAGTTTTTTTTCAATATCACCCAGTGGCTGTTTTAAACATTTTTGTAATTCTTTTGTGTTTACAATGGACTCTACAGAATATGCTTCAGCTGTACATCCTAAAAAGAAAAATCAGCCTATTTAGCAAGCCTTGCAAATGCTGATTTGTTACCAGTAAATGTATGATTATTAAACCTATTTCAGATGTCTGTATACCTGAGGTCATGTAAAAATTTCTTGGATCACAAGGGGGCATGAGTGAAAAAGTATAAGAAGCCCTGCTGTAGAGGAGAATGGAGTGAGCATGGAGGAATTTTGGAAACCTTATAAAATGTAGGTTTCTATGGTCTCTAAATAATCATTTCTTTGGCACAGCTAAGGTTGCAGAAGTTCAAACTAGAATTTAGTTACTGACCTCCATCACAACATTTTTTCTTCTCCACGTTTATAGATTTTGATAATTGCTATTGCTACCTCCTTTCTAGATCTTCATGAAGGACATTATAAAAAGAGCACAGCTTCACCTTAAAGTTTCATTAAAGTGGGTGCGGAAACCATTACCAACATGTATTTACTACAGATATCAGAATACATTAAATGGTAGTAGATAGTGACATACCTTCAAACCTGGTGTGCCAGGTATCCCGGGATAGCCTGGTTCCCCTGGAGTACCTGTTCGACCATATTCTCCCTGAATAATACAACAGCTCCATAAATCTGAGATTATATAATAGATTATTAAAGTATGCATTGCTTTGCCATACTTAAGTTGTAACCACATATATATGCCCTACTAAACTGTGGCCTCTACATCTAAGGAGCCCTATATAGGACTGAATTGCAAAAGAAGCAAGCTTGCTTGAAAATCCCCAACATGCTCATTTTAAAATGATTTCTTATACCACTAAAATATTCATATATATTATTAAGGGTGCGGAACTATTTCTAAAATGCCCTGTTGTCAATCCAGCATGGAGTTGCATGAAGTCACATGCTGCTAAAGTAATCCTTCCAAACTAAATGAAAACATTTTAAAAGGACTATTTTAAAAGAAAATATTTTAAACAAATAAAATCAATTAAAATCTCTATCCAAAGTGTGCAGACAAGAAACTCTCAGTTCACTCCAGTGGAAGAGAAAGGCTTGACAAGAATTTTCAAAGAGGGTATAGAAATTAGTTGGACCTCCAGAAGCAATTCATCTGCCATTCCCAGCAGGCTTCTTGTCTGGCAATGTGGAATAGAGCTACTAGTAGTTGCAATCCAACACTGGGAAGTCCACATGATTCTCACCTCTGGATCAGGGAATCTATTTGTGCCTACACATTTCTCACCTCAATATCTGCATTACCTTAGTAAATGCTGGTCTCATAATACACACTTGGTAATTGTGGCCCCATACTGTAAGTACAATGTCTGATCTTAAAGAATCTATGTTACTTTATACAGCTGAATGATTGTTTACATTGGACAAAATACTCATTTAAAACTTTGGCCTGCTTAAAATATGATCTGAGAACAAATCAGAATCTGAAAAAAAATCTAATACAGTTTTGTTCTGTATCCCATTTGGGAACTAGAAATCTAAAATAGAAATCATCAGTCCCTTCCTAAGAGGCACAAAAAGGAAGGAATCTGGAAGCTTGTGATTCACCACAATTAATTCCCATAGCACAGTGGTTCTCAACCTGTGGGCTATAGCCCAGCAGCGAGCTGCAAGAATGAAAATCCAGTCTACGGACCTCTTTTCTCTTTATTTTTATTTTATTTACTTCAGCTGCAGAACTAACTAACCTCGCCCCTTTTTGGTACTAATGTTGGAGAGTTGTCCCTGGTCAAAGTGGGCCCTGGTCAACGTGTGCCCCGGTCAAGTGGGCTCTGGTCAAAGTGGGCTCTGGTCAAGTGGGCCCTGGTCAAGTGGGCACTGTTCAAAAAAAGGTTGGGAACCACTGCCATAGCAAGAAGCATGGACTAAATGCAACCTTAATTAACTGTGATTAACAAAGCCCACGCATTTCAATGACTCTATTCTAGGATTTATGTCCAAGACTGGGATTCATATGGTCTTCCTGCTGTTTTCTTTTAAAAAAGAAAACAAAAGAAGAAAAAGGAGAAAAGGAGCACAACCAAAGATGGTCTTTATTAGTGTTATATTTTAAGACAAAGCATTTCAGCTAATCCAGACTAGTTTTCAGCTTGTGACATGTCTCTTTTTTCTTTGTGGAACATATTTTCCAACATCCCCCATCACTGGCTATGTTGACTAGGGTCTGCTGGAAATTGCAGGCCAACAACTTCTGGAGGATCACATAATTCCCACTCTTGATTTAGCCCCAGGGTTGCCTGTTATGTTTGAACTAAACCTTATTACCAGAAGGAACATTTATAGAAGGAAATCACACTCTGAGGTTGAAAGGTGACTGAAATTGAACAACGCCAGAATGACAACACAAAACATTTAGAATGTAGATGCATGGTTTATGCTTGGAGTCACACTCTCAATACTGAAATGCTAGTGTGAAGGAGTATACACATCCTAGGGTTGGGAGAGCAAACAGAGCTTCCCTATGTGTAACAAAAATCACAGTAAAAGACTAGTGGAGATTTATGTGAATCCTGGAACCTTAATCACAAAAAGTTCCACCATCTGGAAAGCTTCTATATATAAGGAACTATGCATGAAAACCTTACAATGTCAGACACAAACCTAACAGTTGGCTCCACAGTTCCTTTCAACATGCATACCCCTTCACATTAATAACATGTGAAGGAAAAATCTGCTATGTAAGAATCAAGGTTAGTCATGGTGTAATGATCTACCGTGGTTAAGAGAGATAATTTAACTGTATAAAAGGAAGTCATTACTGTATTCACAACAAAAGAGATTAAAGATAAGCTTAAAGCTAACCTTAAAAATGTGGAATAAACACTTAGAATTGGGAAGACCTGCCATGTGAGCATTCTAACTGGAGGTCAGCTGTTACCAACAGTCCTGTGGATTTTGAGGAGGCATGTATAGACAGCAAAAGGGAGAAAGGTGCCAAGAAGAAGGCATATCAAACAAATCCTTGTTGGGACCTTCCATCTAGAAATATACATATCCTCGCTGCAAAAGATCATGCAGATCCAGAATAGGTCTCTACAGTCATTTATGGACCTACCGCCAAGACTCTACCCTTGGAAGATAATCATACTTGGCCATGAGGAATTGCCTATGATGATGACTCACCATCTAGAAAGTCATATGCTCATGAGTTTTATCTCACAGATGAAAGGTACTTAAGTTTCTGTTTCCTGACTACCATAAATCGGTGTGGCAGTATTCTTGATTTTTAATGAATCACTAATTTATTAAAGGTGAAACTTGAACCAATGTACCAAACAAGCAAACCACCTTCATATTATTCAATCCATGATACTCCAACCCTAATGATATTGTTACAAATTGAAACTCAGCCACATTTACCTTTACACCTGATGGTCCTGGTTTCCCTTGTAGTCCCTGTTCACCTTTGCTGCCCTGTGAATATATGAGTTTAATCAGTTGATGGAGAAATTTAAACATGACTTCAATAAGCTATCTGTTAAACCACATCTAAGGTGAGCCACAAATTCAAGTATCAACGTTCAATTGGCTCTCAATGTTTCCTTGGTGGCCCTTTCCCCTTGCGGTCCCTAATTTACAAATATTTCTGGGTAAGCCAAAGAAACCCTGAGGAGTATTTATTTACCATATTTGTATATCACCTTTCTCAGCCTGAAGGTAACTCAAGCTGGTTTACAGTCGGCTTTACAGTAGGCAACAATTCGATGCCCCAATAACATAAAGTAAGTGTTAGGAAGCATGAAGGCTGCATGAGGAAGGGAAACCTAGTCTGGAAGAAGCCAACGTGGAATCAAAGAGGAAGTACCCAATTGGATCCTGGGCTTCTTTTTTAGAATTCTAAGTGATACAAATTTCTATTTGCCTCATATAGAAAATTGCAACTCCTATATATCTCATTGTGATACAGTTGTGGAGTTAGTCCTTCTCCGTGAACTCCACAAGTGCAGCAGTAAAATGACAAAATCTCAGTGTGAGTAAATATCAAGATGAGAGAAAGACTAGGGGGAGTTTATGAGACAATGATGAAGACTACCTCACTACCTCTGAGGATGCTTGCCACAGATGCAGGCAAAATGTCAGAAGAGAATGCCTCTAGAACATGGCCATATAGCCTGGAAAAACCTACAACAACCTGATGAAGAAATTGCTACATTCAGTTTGCTCCGTTCACATGTTCAATATGTGAACAAGTGCATCCAGTGAAGAAGGAACAGCCCTGTATTGTATTTCCATCCCTGAGACTGTGCTGTTCCCCATTTCCCCCCCAATAATTTTCTGTATAAGTAGCTTGGGCATGTGAGCATATACATCTGCAACTGTATATATACATGAAACAGGCTTTTGTTCCAGATGCTGGCTATTGCTCCACATATTTGCTACATTTTTCCATAACACCAAAAATCAAGTTCAACATGCTATAACCAATATTTATCCTTATATGTTTCATTTCTTCCTAAAAAGTGAGGTGCACAAAAATTAAAACTAAGGCACTAAGCTAGAAGCATACAAGTAAAGTTGAAAAATATACCTTAGACCCAGGTCCGCCAGGTAAACCTAATGACCCCTCAGGTCCAGGCAAACCCTATGGAAGAAAAGTCAAAATTATGCATCTGTGATGAATAAGAGAAACCAAACTCAAAATATTTAAAACTAAGGAAGGGATGGACATTTGGGAGAACTACCACAAGCAATACAGTGGGACTACCAGAGTTTGGTTCTAGGATGCCCCAATGATACCACAATCCAATTATGCTAAAGTCCCATTATATACAATAGTGAAAATGGCAGCATTAAGGTTTGCTTTTTGGATTGATAAAATATTTTTGAAAATGTTGATGGTTTAATCCATAGAAACAGAATCTGTGAATATATTACACTGATATTATATTATATATATATATATAGTGTAATATATTCACAGATTCTGTTTCTATGGATTAAACCATCAACATTTTCAAAAATATTTTATCAATCCAAAAAGCATATATATATGTTGCTACACACACACGTATTAAATACCAGCCTTTTTACTGATTTTGAACAAGACTTGGGGAAGCCACTTGGAGTCCACTTCTGGGTAGATAAAACAGTATATAAATAATGAAATATGGATCTCTCTATCATCCTTAGAAGATCATAAGAGTTAATTCTATTTACTCAGAAGAAGTTCTAGAGAATGTCATGTCTCATGAGTTCAGTACTTCACACATATCATTTTCACAGTATGTGCAAGCTTCACATTTGAAACCAAACAATGAATCAACAATTTAACATAGAAGAAGAAAAAACAAACAGATACAAGCCATTACTGCCCCTACTTGAAAGTTGGCCATACTCGAGGAGGATAAATCAATAAATGATTGAAACTGGCAAAAATAATGGGGTAATTGTTACTTAACAATTATTTATTGCAGATTTTCCCTTATGTATTACATCTGAACTGTCAACAGGACTCCCATCTGTTCTTTTCTGGAGCAAACCGTATGACTCACAGTAGGAAAATCCCACTCAAAGGGTCATAGTAGATGTTAAGGAGCATGGATATTCCAAGTATTTCACAAATTTTCCCTCTCCAGTGGTGATTCCTCTGAATATATGCTTCTATGATCAGGCTGCATACTAAACTAATTTTCTCTTCTAATTTCAAATCATAAAACAAAGTACAAAGGTAAGAGAAAGCATGTGCTTTGACAAGCAGATGTATTTTACGACTTGAAGTAAAATATACAAACTATACAATATAGTTTGACCCACAATATTCAGATTTATCATACATTGGGAGTGCACTTATCTCAAGCTTCATTGAGATGAAGACTGAAGCTTTGAAAACTTTCATAATGTATTTTTATGATTTGGAGCTGGGCCAAAATATTAATGCTGTTTGTAGATTTTGAATGTTGTTGGATTTTGCTGTCCTGCTAACACAGCTGCCCCTGAATAACTTTTTCCTGCTTTGAAACTGCATCACATTGCAGTCCTAACATTACAACAAACACATTTCAAACATAGCAGCCAGCAATTGGTAACTGAAAGAAAGACATACAAAGCTTGGCAAAAGTAGAACATCCACAAACAATGCCTGGATACATGGAGTTCTTATCCATAAAAAACTACTCCCCGCTTTCTATAGAAAAAAATGTTGATATGTGAGTTGCCACATAGTGCAAGAAGGTTACGAATTAATAAAGATGTATAAGTCAAATTTTATTGGTAGCCTTTATATATACTACAGTGACGGATTTAGTCCTTTGGAATATATTCTAACAAAAAAATTCTATATCATGAAGGTAGTTCAGAATTAGGGAATCTGTTTACAGACTGGAGATTTCTTATCCACAATGCTTCAGACCAGAAGCATTAGGGATTTGGGATTTTTTTTCAGATTCTGGAATACATGTATTCACATATACATACAGAATAGAGATGGGGTCCAACTCTCAACACAAAATTCATTTTTGTTTCATATGCACCTTAAACATATAGTATAAGGATAATTTAATAATAATAATAATAATAATAATAATAATAATAATAATAATAATCTTTATTTATATTCTGCCCTATTTCCCCGAGGGGGACTCAGGGTGGATTCCAACAAACAAAAAAGGTAATTATTCAATGCCCCAGAACAACAACAAATGCAAACATAATAACCTAAAATAACTCCAAATATGAAAAACAACTTATAACATGACATCTATAGATTAAGCAAAACATATCCTATCAAAAATTATATCTAACATAAAATGTAAACATAAAACATTTGCATTAATTTACAGAAGGCAACAAAGGTTCACCAAGATATGTGAGTTGATTGAGTGGCCAGTGATGTTAACTCAGCAAATATGGTGTGACAAATACAATAACGGTTTGGGGGATGATCATGGAGAAGGCCCTCTCTCTTGTTCTCAGCAGCTGTGCTTGAGATGGGGGTGGGACTAAGAGTAGGGCCTCCTCCGATGACCGCAGTGCCCGAGTTGGTTTGTAGGAGGAGATGATATCGGTCAAATAGCCTGGACCCGAGCTGTTTAGGGCCTTAATGGCAATGATTGTTTAAGGTATTAACAGTTTATTTACAGTATTTATATACCGCCTTTCTCATCCCTGGGGAGACTCAAAGTGGTATTTTATCCATAGTGTTGTAAGTGATGTACGTGAAACTAAGTTTATGTTCACTGATAGAAAGATGTCACTATTTCAGCCATCTATGAAGACAATTGTGGATTTGGGGTAACTGGATTTTTGAATTCTTTACAAGGGATGCTCAATCTGTATTTGCTTAGTGCAGACTTGGTGCTGAATCCATTCCTATACTTCCCCTCTCATGAACTCTTCCCTTGGATTGTAGTAAAACTAGAGCAATAACGTTTTTACCAATGACAGCTACAGTTGGCTCTTATATTGAAATTGTATAAAATGAATTGCACCAGTACCAATGCAAATATCGAAGTGCACCACAATAAATCTCAACCAGGAACAAATAAAGCAACTCACAATGAAAGTAAGGAATACCGAAGTCCATTATATAATACCAGTTTCCATTTGCTTGGCTGGGAAACAGTAGGAATCATGTCTGCACTGGGGTCACTGACTCATATGCTAGTTACAGCACTTCCAGGTTAGCGGATGAAATTCACAGCCATATTACATTGGCTGACATATATAAATCAAAGCTGCTGGCCTCAACTAAGAGAGTCTCCTATAAATAATTCAAACAGAACCCATAACTCAGGAGCTATCAAACTGACTGAGCTTCAATTCAAAGAGGAAGTATCCTCCAAAATTATTCTCACAGCCAAAGAAATGAAAGAAACCTCATTTGCCATCAATTCTGAACTACACTGGTGAGGCCCACCATCTGCTGAAAATTAAAACCATCCACTCTGGCAAAAATAAACATTGGTGGAAGTTATTAACAGATCAGAACAGAGGCGCCTCATAGTTATAAAAGAACTTAATATGATGGAAACAATAGGCATTTTCAAGTTCCGTAATAACTGGGCAACACAGGTCCTTTTAACTAACATGCAATTCTTAGAAATACTCTTTAGCATAACAAATGGATTCCTCTTTTAAGGAAGGCATTTCATTTAGTTTGTACTCAGCATCCAATCTGTATCTGCCAGAATTTAGAACAGTATGTCTATAACGTTCCCTTTGTATTTATAATACAGGCAATCCCCAAGTTACAAACAAGATAGGGTTCTGTAGGTTTATTTTTAAGTTGAATTTGTTTGTAAGACAGAACAGGCACATTTTTAAAATATAACTCCATTCAAATATATAGATTTCTTAGCTTTGGATAGCATAGGGAAGGGTTAACACCCCTGTGGTGCTTGCTTTGCTGTCTGTGTGCCTAGGCAGAAGATTTCACCTCACTTTCTGTCCCTGTGATGATTGGATCTTGAAAAAAAATGGCTTGTTGTTGAAACAAAGATTAGCGAGAAAGCTTCAGTGGAGGCACCTTTTCCCCATGATAATGCTTTTAAGAAAGTATTTCCATTCCTGGGGTAGATTTCCTCTCACTTCCTGTTGTCTCCACCCCCGTTTTTAACTATGAGTCATTTGCAAGTTGGATGTTTGTAACTTGAGGGCTGTCTTTATCTCATTTTGTTCTGTTCTAAAATGCATCCATATACAGTGAACTAAATGCCTTATGTAATACTTTTGTACTTTCAACGTAATGTTATTATATTTCTTGAGGCAACGAAATGCTTTCTATCACATCCATACTATGCACTTCCCCCATTTGTTTGATTTACCATAATTTATATAAAATATTTTTCAAAAGATAAAATGTTATATTAGTGATGTTTTTAGGGGTTAATCCAATTTATGCCTCCTCCTCTCTCTCTTTGTCATTGCACGGGAATTTTTCATGTAAACAGCAACAATAATAAAAATAAATTTATTTTTGTAACCTGCCTCCGTCTTTCCGAAGGGACTCAGGGCGGCTTACATGGAGCCAAGGCAGATCAACAGAGTTAAAAGCATAACACAATAAAATACAATATGAAATACAACAACATTATAGCAATATTACAATAAATATAAACAGGCATCAAAACCAACAACCAAAATGTAATTCATTACTTGTAACTGGTGGGCGGACTGGTGCAACAACAATTCAAAGAATAGGGATGGTAACTAAAGTGTATAGGTCATATGGCAGTAGTAAGGATAGTGCAGTGTCAAATAAATCATTATAGATTTGGGTACAGAACAATAGTAAAGTGCAAGGAGAGATTTTGGGTCTTCCATGCTTTCTCCTCTCCACTAATGTAGCCATTTACAGGCCAATGGAGAGTAAGGGACATTGGAGAAGCATCTGGCTATGTGAGTATATTTATTTCGTGTCAAAAGCATTGCATACGTAAGTATGAAACTGATGAAAACAGAAGGAGCAAAAGCAGCTAAATAATTTTTGACCAAAACCAGGCAACGGTGACTGCATTGTCTGTAGCTTTAAACAATTCTTCTTCCTGTACATCTCCAGGAATCTTCTGAAGGTCCTAGAAGATGACTGTATCTTATTACATCTGGTTACAGCTACATACAAATGCTTCTCAGCCATCCTGCACACTCCCATGGCCTCTAAATAGCCATGGAAGGGTTCCTGCAGGAGGAAAAGTGTCAGAACTTTAAGATATATCTCCTGATGTAGGATCTTGGCCAAAAATACAGACACACAGGTATTAATATATAGTATTCACTGGACAGATTTCTTTCTTTCACATTACATTGCTGGTTGCAATCTTATCATTCTATTAAAAGACTACTCAACACATAAACAGTCAAATGAACTTACAGGAGTCCCTGGTGATCCTTTTGTTCCTTCTGGTCCAGGTGGTCCAACTTCACCCTAAAATTGAAGAAAAAACCCAACAGATTTAAAATACATTCCGCATATGTCTGACAAAGTTGGTGTAAATGGCACTTAATATAAAAGCAGTATCAGAGAATTAGAATAACAGCAGGTGAAAATTGAATCCCTATTGGTTCTGCTCAAAGAGGTAGACCAGATGCTAAATTTGATCCATAGCTCCCACTGAAGGCCTCCTCTGCGACTGCACAGCAGCCAAACAAGTAGAAGCAGGAATGACTCATGCATTTTCACAAGATACAGTGTCCACATCTCTTGTGAATGATGTTGAGAGAACCAAAATATGAGAAGCACAGGGCTCCATTTCCCACATTTCTCTGGAACCTATAAAATTGCCTCAAGGCAGCTTTATCACACACCAAGTCCATCTTCTGTAATTTCAGACATCCTTATAACACTTTCAAGACCATGGTTTTGACAGAAATATATGGCCAACATTTTGTCTATTATGTAGAGAATAATAAAAAAGGTTAAGGGTCTACACCATATCCTTATAAATACCTTTTCTCCTTTTATTCCTTGCATTCCAGGAATCCCAGGAATTCCCTTGAAAAAATGGAAAGATATGTAAACTTAATAAGTCAAACCCATTGACATTTCTCATACAAGGCTGACAGAAAGATACTCATTGACCAGAAATGGGCATGTACACATCTGCTGTGACTATGATGCAAGATGATATCACACACTGTAAAGTCATTCATGTCTTTTCCCAAAGCATCACTTTGAGTAATATCTTTCACCCAATGTGTTTATTAGAGTTTATAAAGTTTTATTGATCATATCATAAAAAGTGTGTTGCATCAGAATGAAATCTGATTATGTTGGATTGTTACAGTGAGATGAAAATCTCTATTTTGTGCGTGAAACCTTTTTCATACAGTTTCTTATCCAAATTGGGAAATTGTGCTGCAACTTCCAGTCTTCAACTCAAGTCAGTTCCAATACCCCTCTTCTGTTCCCAATCAGAGCAGGGAAGCAAAGACTGCTCAGGACTTGGACATTGGCTTTGGGAGTGCTTCCCTGGGCTGTGGTTGTCTTTGGCCTCCCTCACCTAGTGCCATCTGGAAAATCATAGGTCAAGCAAAGCAATGTTAGTGTTCAGTTTGTTTCTGTTAGGATCGACATCTCCAGGATCTGACCAAGACTCTTTGCCCACCACTTTATACTCTTGACTTTCTTCTGCATAGATAAATGGGCCAGGTGATGCCAGAACATAGGAGTGGTCAACTACAGATGTCTGGAGGACATCTAGCCCTCCAGGTTGAGTCTAAGGAGTAGTCTGTCCTCTAGGGGCAATCAAAAGTTTGTTGTTTATTTTCAAGTTGGTTCTAACTTCTGAATACTCTAACGTGAGTCCATCATGGTGTTTTCTTGGCAGAGGTTTGCTATTGTCTTGCTATGAGACTGAGAATGTCAATTGTCTAAAATGCCTAAAGGGTTTCAATGTCTGAATATTACTTTATCCCTGTTCAACAATATTGGTCCTCTCTGGCTCATCTGAAACTGGTTTTTCTTTGGAGTTTTTCTTTTTTTTGGGGGGAGGGGGGTTAGTTTTTATTTTTATTTTTCTATTAGAATGTTTTTGAGTAAATCGTTCCTACAAATCCAAGGAGGATTTTCTTTTTTTTCTTTTTAAAAAATAATTTCCACTGCCATAACAGCAAGGTTTCATGTGTGACTTTTCCTTCCTACACCATGAAGACAATTGGCAGAAAAATACTGAGAAAAGTACTGCATGTATCTTTTACAGGATCATTTGATGTTACTGTACAGAATTATTCTCACACTACATTTCTGATGACTAACTGAGGTAACCTCCCAGGGCTTATGAGCCAATCACACAAACTGCTAACCACAAACAGAGACTGCTTGTTCAAATTACTATTGAAAAGGCAAGTTGGATCAGAGATATGTAAAGTGGAAACCCTGGCTTGTGATAATTATGTCTCTTGAGGAGGAACTATTGTGTACTGGAAATATTGATCAGGGACTCAGGATTTAACCTCATGCATTGCATCATGTGAGGGATATTAACAAGACAGACAAAATATCTTCATGCATGATATTGTGTACAACTGGAATTGGAACCCACAAAGGGTCAACTGGTCACTGTTCCATTTCCCACTTCAAGGTCCCTGCACACTGCACTGTCCCTCCAAGGAAGCATACAGAGATATAAATAGGGTCTTTTGATGTCTTTGCCAAGCACAATGATCTTTCTTTCTTTTGTGGGGTTGTGGGAGAGGTTCCAGAGTCTAGATATATCATCTTTGAGGGCCACATAAACCTATGTATTATATAGTTCCTATCCCTAGTTTATACAGACAAATGAATAAGTGCACAACAGTGCAGAATTCAGCAATCCCTGCATGTAGCCTTGAAAAACAAAGACAGTGTTTCAGGATCTATTGATTCATCTCCAACTTTCATATGCAATGGTATGGTTTTCATGAGCATCTTGGCAGTTTGGGATGTTTTTCCCAATCCCCCAGTCACCAAATGGCCCAGGAGTCAGATGGTTGTAAGGCAAGATCTTTTGGGTAATTAGTTCAGTCCACAAGTTATTCAGCAAGATGAAAGGTGAAACAAGCAGGAAGTTGTCAGCCAGTCTACTAGTCATTATAGCAGGTCAGGAATTCAAATAACCAAAATCAACAAGAAGTAAAATACCAAGTTGGGACCCCTGAGGGGGTGTCAGGGGGGTCACCAAAGACCATTGGAAAACCCAGCAATATTTTTCTGTGTGGGAAGTTTGGCCCAATTCCATCGTTGGTGGAGTTCAGAATGCCCTTTGATTGTAGGTGAACTATAAATCCCAGCAACTACAACTCCCAAATGACAAAATCAGTTCTCCCCAACCCCATCAGTGTTCAGATTTAGCTGTTATCAGGTATTTGTACCAAATTTGGTCCAGTGAATGAAAATAATCCTGCATATCAGATATTTACATCACAATTCATAACAGTAGCAAAATTACAGTTGTGAAGTAACAACAAAAATAATGTTATGGTTGGGGGTCACCACAACATCAGGAACTGTATTAAGGGGGCGCAGCATTAAGAAGGTTGTCTGCCTTAGAGTCAGACACTCTGGAAGGGATGCCTGAAACAATCCCCTGACCTGTGGCACAGGTAATTGCCAAGCCAGTCATTCCAGAGCATGGTGGCCTCAAGGACGGATAGCTGAATGGACAGACCAACAGAAGTTAGCTCACAGGCATGATCAGAAACCATGCATGGGAGAAATTGGGTATTAAGAGCTAGTGGCTTTTACTTCTTACCACTTTGCCTTCCTTCCTTTGCACTATTGATCTTTAGCCATTTTCCCCTCTGGCACTGCCGCCACTCTCAAAGCCATATCACTGTAGTTACCCAACAGGATTATTGTTTTCTATTAAAAGCAGCTGCTTCATTTTGAGCTGGAGACTTCCTAATGCAAATATTTTCAATCCATTTATTATTCTTAAGGGTAAAGGTAGTCCCCTGACATTAAGTCCAGTCATGTCTGACTCTGGGGTGTGGTGCTCATCTCCATTTCTAAGCCGAAGAGCCAGCGTTGTCCGTAGACACCTCCAAGGTCATGTGGCCAGCATGACTGCATGGAGCGCTGTTATCTTCCCACCGGAGCGGTACCTATTGATCTACTCACATTTGCATGTTTTCGAACTGCTAGGTTGGCAGAAGCTAGGGCTGACAGCGGAAGCTCACGCCGCTCCCCGGAATTGAACCTTTCAATCAACAAGCTCAGCAGCTCAGTGCTTTAACCCACTGCGCCACCGGGGGCTCCTGCGCCCGGTGAAGAATTATTATTATTAATTACTGTTAATTTCTACAAAAGTGTGCTGTAATGAATTTGCCAGGATACCAGACACTTGTTAAATAAATCCTTGTTAAATGTATTGTCAAAGGCTTTCATGACTGGAATCACTGGTCATGTTCTAGAAGCATTCTCTCCTGACATTTCACCTGCATCTATGGCAGGCATCTTCAGAGGTTGTGAGGACTTCTAGAACATGGCCATATAGCCCAAAAAACCTACAACAACCCAGTGATTCCAGCCATGGAAGTCTTCAACAATACAGAAGAGATAGTGATCACCAAAAGACCATTTAGATTTGTCAACTTAGAAGTGCTATTAATACAGAACAGAATCAGAGATATACAATTCATCATTCAGGATGTCAGCCTCACTTGCCTAGTTTCCAATAGACCCCTCAACCTTGGAGGATGCCTGCCATAGATGCAGGCAAAATGTCAGGAGAGAATGCTTCTAGAACATAGCCATACAACCCAAAAAACCTACAACAACCAGAAATCCTTGTTAGTTTTTTTAGCATAACTAAAAACATGGGTAAGATTACTGGCAACAGCAAAACAAAGTGTTTGTTTAATGAGTTACTGTCTCCCAGAAAACTGTACAAATCATTGTTTTACTAAGTTTCCATATCAGATTCTAATGTTGTAAATCATATGGTGAATTTGTATGAAGAACAATTCAAGAGGGGGGTAGAACTGCTGAACATCTGGATGAATTACTACTAAGAGGCCAATGACATTCACTTTTCCTTTCGAAACTGAATTTCCTTGTTACATAACTCCTTTTCCTTACTTCAACAGACAACTGGCAAGGGAGCAACCAGAACACAGAATGGTTGGCAGGAACTCCATGCTGAATGTTCTATATATAGTGAAGGTTCTCAAACTGTAGAGTGAAACTCAAACAGATAACTTAAGAAATCCAGAAGTGGAGGGTGGAGACTGAGAGATCCAGGAAAAAAAATGGTCTTGGAGGAAAGTGGAATTTTCTTCCACTATTGAAACAATAAAACATATATGATCTGAAGAATCCTTAAGTAGGATAAGCCATCTGGTTGAGCAAATATTGTCAGAAGATGATTAAGGAATTGTTAAATATCCACTTCAATAGAAAGGGAAAAATTGTTTGTTTTATATGTAATTTAATTGCATTTATTATATCTTCTATATTTTAACTTTATAGCCACAAAGTACTATTTAATAGTTCTTAATTTTTGCATTTTGCAAGTTGCTTCTGGTATAATACCAAGTTTTTAAAACTTTGTTTGTATTTTTAAATACACTACAACTGTACCCTTGGTTCGCTTCTGACATGATAAACAAATAAATAAATACATACATACATACATACATTTTTGCATTTGCTTTGGTTTAAGTTGTGATTAGTTTGTGTGGCTTTTAGTACCTTGAGTCCACATTGGGAGACAGACATGGTATAACTAAAGTTAATAAATAAGCAAATAAATAAGACCAAAGACTGTGCAAAAGTGAAATTTTCATGAATTTTTCACATTGAACCATGACACTTAAAGTGATGTCAAGTAGGGTTGTGCAATTCGGTTTAACCCCATTTTGTTTTCTGTATACGAATTTTGGTGGACTCCCAAATTGGTTTTTCAGGAGCCTCCCTAATTTGGTTGGGGGAAAATTCATTTTTCAATTAGGCAACTGAAAGATCCAGGAAGAACCTGCCTGTTGGAGGCAATGAGGAATTTAGGAGGCTCTCCT